GAACTTACACACGTGATCAACGAGATTCGAACTCAAGACACGTGACAATTTGGTGTCAGAATTTTTACGAACTTAAACACGCCAGAAACAATTTGTTGTGAATCAATCTTACTGCTACAACATGGACATGGAAAAGATGATGGAAATGTTGGCAAGAATTGACGCCAACGTGAAATCTAACCAAGAAGAGCAAGAATTTCAAGAACCAATAGTGTCATCGTGTCAGTCGGTCTGCATGTTGAGCAATTCGCTCAGACTCATGCAACGAATCTTCAGGCATACTAAATTGTGTCCTGATATGTTCACTTTGAATTAGGCCCACTTTAAGGGCTACTTTCTTTACGTGTCTACGTAAACTTTTAAGCGTATGCATACGTTCTGAATCTTTGACAGGTTCTGTTAAAATTTTGCTGCTCTTGAAGATTTTGAGGGTGTGTCACCAATGGTTATGAAGAGTTCAGTCCTCAAGGATATAACGCAACGTAATCCGTTGGAAGTCAACAGATATTTGGAAGGAGCATATTGTGATTTGTGTACCCATCGCTAGACAACGACTTGGGTAAACATATTCTCGCGGGAGCAAACACGCGTAACAATAGGGCATCCACTGCTAGGCAAAGGATCAGTAAACACGCCTCCTTAATAAGAGAGACTGTTTTTTTCTGCGTGGTCCGCGCAAAGTGGTTATAAAGAAGAGTTCTATGTTGTATTTTAGCGTCCTGTTGCACTGATTCATATTCATAATGTGTATGCATTAACAGTCTTCAAGTGCACACAATCCCATTTACCACTTCTACACTACATGTTTCGGCAGTATGCTGCCATCTTCAGGTCTATCGATCCGTCAACTATTTCACTGCTTGCCTTTATATGTCCATTTACAAATAATATTAAATTTATATACGTCCTTATATAATAATAAAGTTCATGTATTTAAAACTTGTTAAAACCTATTATCTCATACGCCATATTTTAAATTCGTGTGTGTTATTGATCATCCACATGGGGGTCGTTCTTCTTATGTTTCTAATGTGTGTGTATATTGTGTCTTGTGATGTGTTCTACTCCTGTGGCTGCGTGCGTGTCACATCCAACGAGATGAGCCAGCCAACACGAATGAGAAGGGTCCGGCCCGGAGTGACGTTCCACGCGAACATGAGCCCCATCAATTCTGACGAGAAGCTGAAAGACAGAGACGATGCAAGCACTGACGACGTAGATAACATTCTTGTACAGTTATTATTATTATAATAATTAAATATAATATATAATATTATTTGTAAATGGACATATAAAGGCAAGCAGCGAAATAGTTGACGGATCGATACACCTGAAGATGGCAGCATACTGCCGAAACATGTAGTGTAGAAGTGGTAGATGGGATTGTGTGCACTTGAAGACTGTTAATACATACACATTATGAAAAGAAGAATTCAGCTGAGTCGAGCTTCGAGACGTCAGCCTGCCGGGATACGAGCTTTGGAGCAGAGAATTTGAATTGAGTTGGCAACTGCAGAATAATTGTACGAAGAGATCCAGGCTGTGAAAAGAAGACTTCATGTGCGATTTGAAGTGGCAGTGGGACTTATAAATCCGTTGCCAGGACACGACTAGTGCAGACTGAGAACCCTAGTGCGTATGTAACGGTGAAATGGAAAATGTGTGCAATAGTGATAGCGCTGTCATTACCTGTAGTCCCGAGTTGTGGGAATATATAAGGTGTCAAAAAATCCAACCATGCAATCCAAAAGCCGTCTTATACAAGCAGTCGTAAGAAGCAAGCAGATTTAATGTCGCCCCAAATTCGCATGTCTCCGACAGAGGCTCTCGGAAACACCACCCTTTCTTTTTTACATGTCTGTGAAGGAAAGCAGTTGTGAACTCTTAGCCTAAGTGCATATGAGACTCGTAAGATGGCTTTAGCTCACCTCTTCAATAGCTGCGTCCTCGTCCTCTGCATGCGCGTTCAGAGAATCCTGTAGGCTTGGAGGCGACAGCGTGATGGCCCTGCGTTTCCTGTCAGGCTGCTCCTCATCCCTGTCCTTAGTTCCACCTTCCTGATCCTTTAACATGTCACGAACTATGCTCCTCAAAACGTTGAAACTCTGATGGCTGTTTTCATCCTGATCTGTTGGAAGGAAATCGCCCATTTGTTTGTTCAGTCTCCTAAGGACAGTTTTCCCTCGGTCTCCTAGCCGCTGGAGTCTCCTCAGAACGTCCTCAAACACTTCACTAGACGTCGGTACCAAGACGTCCTCGGTTACGTTATTTCTTGAGGATTCTGTTGCCGCCGCGGGCACTCCTGCTCCTGTGACACCACCCTTTGCTTTGGGCCTGCTTTTCGCCCAAACCATATTTCGAATGAACTGTACAAGAATGTTATCTATGTCATCATTGTCTGCATCGTCTCTGTCTTCCAGCTTCTCGTCAGAATTGATGGGGCTCATGTTCGCGTGGAACGTCACTCCGGGCCGGACCCTTCTCATTCGTGTCGGCTGGTTCTTCTCGTTGGAACTCCTGCCATTCGTCGACGAGCGGCCACCTACTGCAATCTCTGTTTTGCTGGGATCACGCACCGACGTTGCTGGCCACTGTACTCTCTCCTCCAAATTCCCCTCCATCTCCTCCAGCTCCTCTGAAGAATCGTCCCCTATGTACGCGCACTGATGCAAGTGTTTATGACCCCGGATCACCACTAGCGATGCGCCGGGCCACCTGTCGTTCAGATATGAGACAATTTATTAAACACTGTGTACACTTCCAATATGGGGACACGCGGTAGTGTAGTTGCTTGAGGCACTATGCTACAAGCCGGAAGCTCACGGGTTCAAGTCCCGATGAGGTCATTGGTTTTCTTTTCAATTGACCTAATCCTTCCAGCAGCAAAATGCCCCTGGGATCGACTCAGCCTCTAACAGAAATGAGTACCAAGAATATTCCTGGGGTAAAGGGCGGCCGGTGCATAAGGTTGACAAACTTACGGCCATCTGTGAGCCGATTGTCTAGAGAAAATGTGGGAACCTCGACGTCTCACAACCCTATGGGCCTCCACGTCCTGTTACAGGAATACCTTTAGTTTTACTTTTTACTTTACTATGGTCAGATAGACAACCCTCCACGCACACATTTCTTGCACACTCGCAAAAGACGTGCAAAATCCCGTTACATGAACACTTCGTTTGCGATCGGGTTTCCATAGCAACGGGGCTTCCCCTTGATTTGTGGATCATAATTTTGTTGATGTGTTACGAAACATAAGTGTTGTAATTTTAACTTACAGTATCAGTCATACTTAAGATTCAGCTGTTTACATAATCGTTTTCAAGTGCCCGGACATTCTACCTGAAGAAGGATTAGCACGGAGACTTTAATGCCATTAGACCCAGGCGACGACAAATAGGCTTGTTCTTGTATCAGAACCCAATGGAAAGACTTTGCTGGGTGTTAGCACGTGCCCCGGCCTAGAAAACCGAGATAGGCGTCCGTGGGGATCCGTTGCGCTGACCGCGCGACACCCTCTGTCCGCTAAAGTTGGCACTAACTTCGTGTACAAGCGGCGGTCGCTCGGTGGGTCGGTATAGTTCGCTTGCGGACTATAGGCCACGGAGTTTGTTTTGTTTGTTAGCACGTGCCACTGCTTCATAAGACCGGCCATGTCTGCTGGGGGAGGGGAGGGGAGGGGAGTTCGTGACTCTTCTCAGTGCTCTAGACCGAAGTAGGCAGGCGCAGTGCCTTTGTCCACATACTTTCCAGTTTATGTTACCCTCTCACTGGAGGCTACATGTGCCTGCTTATGCAGCTGAAAGAGTGGGCTACTGGATAACCTGAGAATCAAAACGGAATGCTTAGGATAAATATTATTATTTTGCGTTCACACAACAAACACGTGAAGGCTTAAATCATCCTAACGGTGAACAAACGAGCATTTTTTCGTCTTTTGATTTATGTTGGATTAATGGACAAGTTCTTTTCGTGCAGAATGACGTATTATACTTTTGCAGCACGATCAATTATATTAAAATTGAACATAGGATCATATTTATATAGAAGTAAACTTATAAGTGCCTGAGACAGGAAGCTTCGTTTAATCATTGTCTACAACTCGGGGCATGGATGTTTACTTCTTTCTGTGACGGACAGATCACGCGATGGTATAACTATTCTTGAACTTCTGTCACTTGTCTTACTGAGTATTTAGAAGCCTACACCACAAAACAGGTCACCAAAGGGACTTGTCTAGAGGTAACCATCTAGGTTTAGGTTCCAGAAGACACAGGTTCAAATCTCGGCAGGGACACCGGCTATGCTGACCGAAACTTTAATCCTTCCAGGCAAGTTCTCGGGCAGTATTTCCTTTAGGAACCAACCGCTGCCTTTCAGATCCTTTGAAATTCAACACTGATTTATCATCATACAATTTGACGCTCTGCAGTATCAATACTGAAAGTGTCGTTAAATAAGCAACCAGAAGATACAGAACACTTTGAGGCTGAATTCAGACTGTGGCTGCGAGTAGAGGAGATACGTGCAGGGTAGTGAGGGTGTGTCAAATTAATCTGACATTCGTCCTCCGAACGTCCTTGAAACTCGACCCTTGTCCCCATAGCCGTCAAGCCGTAGGTCTGCGGAGAAGATGAGAATAAGCACGCCGAACAACGCCATCAAAGCCAAAAATTATGCAACGTCTTTCCCCTCTTTATGTAGCCATCAGAGAAGCAAAATATTCATGTGGGTGAGAAGCGTGTCGTTTTGAGCACTTAATTTTCTCTGGGCTGCCACTACAATATAAAGGCAGGTTCCCGGTAACGAAAGAGACCGGATGTTTACCTGACGCAGGTGGAGACTGTGACGGAGGATCCCTGCAGCAGGTAGAAGGCCCAGTACTCCTTCATGTCGTCTTCCAGCTCCAGGTGACGCGTCATGGACACCTTCAGGGGCTCGGGTTCAATTACTGGCTGCTCAGGCAGGAGAAACGCGTTGAATGTGACGTTGGCTTCGACTAGCTGCCGCTGGAAGATGCAAAACAATACTGTGAAAATTGTACCCTTCCAGGCAGGGTTTGGTTAACTGACTGCTGATTATTCTCACATTATTAATGAGACAGCTTCGACTAATGAGGTTATGTTGTGTTGAACGAGAGGCTTAGATCGCGAAATGTTAATAGATAATAATTCGGAAGAAGGCATTCACAGCCCATATGGAGCCAGTATTCCGGTCTTTCGAGGGATTAAGAAAAATCACGAGAATTATCAATGAAGGCAGTCGGTTATCCGACCGAAATTATAACAGGTTACCTCCCATGCATGCCTGGAATATTACCGCTACATTAAGCAGCACAATGATTCCATTATGTAGGCTAATGAAGCCATGTAACGTGATAACGCGGTGAAGAGACCTTGGAGACACAAACTGACCGGAATTAGGGTTACGAGGGCAGGCTTTTCTCCGAGCACTTAGAATTTCCACTGCCAGTTAGTAGCATTCGGTGATCCACACTCATCTGTCAATGCTCTGATCTGAGACCGCATACAAGGCATTCAGTTTCACCCAACTCGTACAACTAAACTCAGGCTAGTGAGGCCACGTGTTGTTCTGGTGGGCTGTTTCGATGAATACACGCCGCATCAAACGAAAGCTGCCTGCATTTTACTGAGATCTACATTTCGTGCCAATTAGTAATGTTCTGAAGGTTCTTATCAGGAAATTTATAATTGTGTGTTTTATTACGCTGTCACCAGTTCAGGCTATGTATCATCGAATGGTAGGGTGATTGATGAATTGGAAGAATCGGGAAGGAAGAGGTTGTTGCCTGATTGAGGTACTATCCCAGAACTTCCATGGAGGGACCGAGAAAGACCATGGAACGTAATTAGCCCGAACAGCGGGTCTCCCAACGTAGCAACCCCGAATATAAGTCTAAGGCCACCAGTTCAGGCTATGTATCATCGAATGGTAGGGTGATTGATGAATTGGAAGAATCGGGAAGGAAGAGGTTGTTGCCTGATTGAGGTACTATCCCAGAACTTCCATGGAGGGACCGAGAAAGACCATGGAACGTAATTAGCCCGAACAGCGGGTCTCCCAACGTAGCAACCCCGAATATAAGTCTAAGGGCTTTGCCTCCACATTAACAAGCTACTTCGGGAAATGTTGGAGTTCGAAGTGGGCCTACATTGGGCCGAGAAGAGCAAAAATTAAACAACTTTTGAGATTTGAGGTTCCCATGGCGGTGCTTGCATAGCTGACCATTTCGCCGTGAAGATGTAGGCAGTATCTTCCTGCGTACTGCAGTATGACATCGAGCAGCGGACAGACATACAGACAAGACTCTTCGTGACGTAACTTTCACATTTCGCGCAAGTAACGACCAATCATTCGGAAGCAGCCTGATTCAAGAAGCTGCCAGTTGCGGTCCAGTCTCCGGAGTTCTGTGCACTTTTTGCACCATGCGAATCAAACGATCGCATGCCTGATGCAAAGGACGAGTCTGTGTGACGGTATGCTTCATTTCGCTGCGCACTGTCGCCATGTTCATGTCTTTGCAACTGCAATGGATTGACATGAAGACCACAGAGCTATGCAATATGATTGTTTTATTTTTTTTATTGCTAGTGGGGTGGCACTAAGTCCCTTGTACTGCGGCCACTTCTGGCCTATTGTATCAGCCCCAGATGATAGGGGAGGGTGATTGTGGAGCAACTGGTGGAATGAAGATTGGCAGGGGATACCGAAGTACTCGGAGAAAACCTGCCCCAGTGCCACTTTGTGCGCCACGAATCCCACTTGACTACACACGGGATCGAACCCGGGCCGCCACGGTGGGAAGCCAGCGACTAACCGCTTGAGCTATGGCGCGGCCAAATTTAAAATTGTTTACTTCACATTAAAATGTAACTGTCCACGCCCGTGTTCTTCCTACACGTACATCAAATAAACTCTGTGCCAGACTATTTTATAAACATGCAACGGCTGAAGTTTCTAATATATTTTTAATGTCCGTATCCGAATGCAAACTGAAGCTGAAAGCCTCCATGACGAAATTGTTACCACGAGGTACGCGGTCTCACTCACAGATGGAGCCGTCAGCCTAACCAGAGACGTACTCATCACGCGGTGTGGAAGTTTTACCAGGCTGTCACATTCCAATTAGCTGCCTTCCTCTTGCTTGCCAACGATAAATCGGTCTCCTTGGCATTGAAAATGTTTCTTCATCACATGGCTCTAATGAACATATAATATAAATCCCAGTAGATAAAAACACTCGCAGATTGAGATGAAGCAACAGAAGTCTTTCTCATGGCCGTGTGAACAGGATGCATATTCTTCACATTGAAAAAAAGTCTTGTATTTGATGCTTCGCGCTGCTCTGTCCCTAGTGTCGTAACGTGCAGCAGCCCTTGCTTGCTTCCAGGCTTATTTCCTCATTTGACCTTTGCATGGTCCGCAGTCTTGGAGGGCATCACTCGGTAAAGCGCCTGGGCTACATGTTGGACGGTAGGAGTTCGATTGCAGGCAGGGCAAGGACTTTCCTGGTTGACACATATCCCGATTGGATTAGGGGAGTGGCCGGAGCATGACGCTGATCTGTCATGTTCCCTATGTGTCCTCAAGTAGGCCTAACCCACTGTAGAGTACCAGGTCACCCTTCGAAAGTTGCTCAGCTACTCAAGAATTCCTTGCTAATATGGAACCTTAAATGTTATCACAGGATACACACCACAAACTGACACTTTCATTCTATCCCGAGCCGGTTCGGTCCATATACTTACACTTATAATTACAGTATAAATCTCCCACTGAGGCCCAAGCCTTCCTTTGGCTTTCATCTCAGACTCTATATTCAGTCGCTTAAGAACACTGGATGGAAAGTTTCAATTATGAATGTCTTTTGCTTACTCCCAAACCACTCATTCAGTACCGTGAACCGTGTATAAGGCAACCTGCTCTAGGTAAAGCTATCCCTGTAACAGGCCGCGGAGACCCATAGGATTGTGAGACGTCGAGGCTCCCACATTTTCTAGACAATGGCCTCACAGATGGCGGTAAGGTTGTTAGTCCGGCCGCCCTTTACCCGAAGGAAGATTCGTGGTACTCGTATGATAGTGGCTGAGATGAACCCAGGGCCATAGTGCGGCTGGAAGGATTAGGTAAATTTAAAAATCAAATGACCTCATCGGGAATCGAACCCGCGATCTTCCGGCTTGTAGCATAGAGCCTTAGCCAACTACGCTACAGCGTGCCGCCCCGTTTCACTGGTGTCGGAAGTAGAAAATGAAAAATGCAGTATTGCACCCACTGAAGAGAAAAAGGGAGCACGCTCTGGACAGATTACGTAACTGGGTAGTTACTGTTGCTGTTCAGACAGCTCTGTTCTCGAAATTTTCTAAAAAGGCGCATTCCTATCATATTCAGAAGAGAACTAGGTCTTGCCGTCACACAAATGTATGCCTGGCATATCAGTGAACTGGCACAAAGCAAGACACCGCTCAGCAGCAGTGCGGCATGAACTCGGAAATGAAAGTGAGGTAACCTGCCCAATATTCTTACCTAGACGAAGTTATTTACGTTGTACGAGAACGTGTCTGAAACTAATAAAATGCTGGGGTTCCGTTGTGTGCAGGTTTTACTGCGCCTTCTTCTAGCTCAAACTATGACTCGTTACGCAATGGAGCGCGTTAAGGCGTGAAAGTTTTCTGACATCATCACGGAGTAGTTTACAGCAAGAAAGCTGCTTTGCCAGAGATGACAAGCTGTCTAACCTGCACCACTCTCAAGCCCTCTGCTGCGTGTACTCGTCACACGAGGTACGCAGAATGAACACAACTTTCCGCAAGCAATCGAACTAACATTCTACAGTGGTGGGCAGTCTAAACCGGTTGTGGGGTTCACTCAGCCGCTTATCTAATGGGGACCTGAGGTTTTCCCTTGGAACATAGCGGCAGGGTGGAAGTTTACCACTTACCTCCATCTAACGCTCAAGTTATGAATGCATGGAGCTATATCTCCACTCCCCCACAGGGCCATGCAACCGAGCATTCCATTTTCTCAATACTACTACTACTATTACTACTACTACTACTACTACTACTACTACTACTACTACTACTACTAATAATAATAATAATAATGATACCATTATCCCTGAGTTTAAATGCGTAAGACAGACATGTGAAAGTAGAGATTTTAAGTTCCCTACTCCCTGATGATAAAATATTACACCCGAATTAAAGACGGCCGCAGCTCCCGCAGTGCGAGGAGATTGTAGTCTCCCACGACCATGAAGTCTAGGAGTAAACACAGAGAGAACGAAGTATGTGTTGGCCCCTAGCCATTGGAATGCAGAGCAAAATCATGAGGTAAATATGACTAACTGGTCCTTTCAAAATATGACAAGGTTCAGACATTTGAGGGCGACGGTAACAGACCAAAATTTGATTCATGAGGAAATAAAAAACAGACTAAATTTCGATAATTCGTCCTATCAATCAGTTGAGAATCTTTTTTCTTCTCGTCTGCTGTCTAAAAACAAGAAGATTCGAACATGCAAAACTCTGATCTTTCCTGTAGTAAACTTGGTCTTTGACATTAAGGAAAGAACAGAGACCGAGGTGTTTGGGAACAGAGTGCTGGAGATGAAATAATAAGGGGCTGGAGAAAACTGCGTACTGAAGGGCTTCGTACCTTGTACTCCTCACCAAACATAATTACACTGATCAAGTTAAGGAGGATGCGATGGGCAGGGAATGTAGCTCGCGTAAGACAGAAGTGGAATGCATGTGCATACAGGTTGGTAGAAAACCTCAAAGGAAAAGACGGCTAAAAAGGCCTAGCTAGATATGGATGGGAGCATAATATTAAAATGGATCTTACAAAAATGGTATGGTCAGTATGAACTACATTCATCTAACTCGGGACAGAGACCAGTGACGGGCAAAGGGACAGTGTTACCTTGCCGTACCTGGCACCACGTGGTGGACACCCTGTTGTCCAGGAGGCGCATGTCTGACATGCCGACTGGGTACAGCTGTTCTCCGTACACGTGGAAGCGCATGTAGAGTGGCACGGCGATGAGCAGGCCAGGGAGGAGCACGCTGAGGATGCAGAGCCGCACCGCCCTCAGTGGGCCCTTCAAGCCCCGCTTGTGCCGCGTCACTCGCGCGCTCTGGCGCCGAAGCAGCAGGTTCTGGAAGGTGACTGGCGGGCGCGGCAACAGCACCTCCTGCGCCTCGCGAGACGTCGACGGCGTCGCCTCTGAAGAAAGTATTTCAAGTTTGTATTTAAAATAAGTATTGAGCATGTTCATTGGAACAAGCTCACCACGACAAGTTCTCTTTCCTTTTCTATATGTAAACCACAAAATGTACTCATTATCCACACTTAATGGATAGATTGTATAATTATTGGAGTTAAAAAAAAAGGTTTGTATTACGTAACGATTACACAGATTACATAGACCAGTGTGCCTTCCGGAAGCAAAGTTACGTCAACAAGCCTGTCTTTTCCTTCGCCGATAGAAAAGTCTAAAATTTGCGAATTATTTATAATTCTGACAGATATACGCCCCTATAGCTGAAAACGAAAGGGCTCAGTGCTGTACGCGCATCTGCTTCGTGGTTCCGGAAGGAATTTCTGCCATGGAGTTCTTACATAGTGACATATCCAATCCGTACAGGCTTCCCATTGCGGCAGTCCGGTTTCGATCCCAGACCAGGTCGTGTGGGATGTGCTGTGGACAAAGTGGCACTGAAGCAAGTTTTCGCCGAACATTTCCGTTTCCTCTACCAATTCTCATTCCAGTACCTGCTCCATATTCATCAATCATCCTATCATCGACGCTATATAGTCTCAATAATGAAAGTGTCGTTTAATAACTAACTCGAAACTACATGCCTACGTGTTATATCCCGTTTGACCGAGAAGTGGCCGTGGAGAATTGCGGAATGTCTCAAGGAAAAGACAATAGGCGGAAAATAGTTCCAATTCAAGAGAAGGAGTTAAGGCCTATATAAAATATCCTACGTTTACAGTCCCCTCCTCAACTGTCGACTGCCGCCCCCACCACCTTCACTGCCGTCGTAACGAAGTAAATGGAAATTCTACCCTCCGAATGTCCATACCTTAAGTGAGGCCGGGGTAACTGCATACACAAATCACGACAAAAACTGCCACGTCACTCAAGGAATTCCCACTATTTTATGGAACCCAAAGGATCGTTTCCGTGTTCACAAGAGTACGCCAATGACCGTATCCCAAACCAGAACAATCCAGTCTCCACCCTCATAACATATTTCTTTGAAATTCATATTAATATGATCCTCCCACCTACTTATGTCTTATCTACATTGTGGTCTCGTCCCTTTAGGTTCTCCCAACAAAACTTTGTATGCATGTCTCCCACCTCGCTCTCCTTTCTTTGATAATTATAATAATAAGTTGAGCTCCTCATTATGCAGTTTCTACAGCCCATTATTTTCCCCCTCTTGGGCCCAAATATTCTCCTCAGCACCCTGTTCCTATGCTCTTCTCTAAATGCGAGGGACCAAGTTTAATATAAATTCAAAACTACGGGCAAAATTAAAGTTGTTAAGTTTAATGTATATTCCAGGCTAGGAGTCAAAACATTCCGAACTGAATGGCAACAAGCATTGCCCGACTTTAATCGAGTATCGATAGGGTGCAGGAATGACGGGAGCTGCGATGAGCTGCATGCACTTCTATCCTAAATCCTGTGCGTGATGATGATGCTAGTAATAATAATAATAATAATAATAATAATAACAACAACAACAACAACCATATGTACTCGTACAAGGGAAAGGAGCCGATCACAGTGGCCTTGCGTTCTAAGGCATGAACTGTCTTCGCTGGATAAAACACTGGGATTATGAGTTCGAATCCCACTTGAGGCGTAGATGTCAGCGTGCGTTTATTATGTTTATTATGTCCTGTGTGCAGGTAGCGACCTTGCGACAAGCTGATCCCTCGTCCATGGATCCCTACAGACTACATCAAGAAGCTGAAAAACGGCCAAGGTCAAAGGAAAGGGCGGTAGGGCCACAGATCGATAAGAGAAAGGAGAATTAATTTAAAACGCACTGATTCCACTTGGTCTCCAAGAGGGGAAGATGTTACTCTACACAGGCTCCTGGCCAGCCCTTGTTTCGAGGTCAGGACAAACAGCGTGCTCAGGAAAGCACTCAGAACTAAGGGGAGCAGCTGGGGGGGGGGATGGCGAATATTTGTGGAAGGCAGAGGAATAAGCGTGAAGATATCCTAAAGATGGATCCTAGGGATGAGGTGAATGGAACCGGCTTGGGACGGTGTCCTGTGTCGGTGCCCTTGCGAAGCAGAAGGCCTACTCAACTCACTGAGCAGTTTGTGCTTATCCTATGAGTAATCTGCTCAGTTCATTACAACAAACATATCTTACAACGCTCCGGGTCGGAGGTGATGCCCCAGCTGATGACCTGAGGTTGCGATATCGTGGTCCCTGGTAGAACTTATCGCGCCTCAAGGGCGAGCGTACGTGCACGTAACTCGTGAATGGAATGCAATGGCTGACAACGTTGTGACGAAAACGCACATTGTAAGAAAGCATATCCTAGTACCAGTGTGTCTATGCCCTTACGTGCCCCTTCTTTCAACGTACTGCACGGTGCTTTACGTATCTCAGAAGACAACTGTTCATGACTACCGCTGTGAGAGTCCCAAACCCTACACTGTCCGGGGCTGTACTCGAAATATGTGAGCCTAACCATCCGACCTGCTGACCACAGTGGCGGTCTTCGCTCTTTCGGACGCTGGGATCGTGGGTTCGAATCCCACTTAAGGTATGGATATTTCGTGCGTGTATGCGCTTATTCTGTGTTTGTGTTTTCCTGTGTTTGGGTAGAGGCCTTGCGACGAGCTGCTCACTCGTCCAAGGAGTCCTCTCGTCTGTGAAAAATTGTTACGGAACTGAATAAGAGGCCTGGGCTGGAAGAGCCACAAAAACACCACAAACACCACAACACCAGCATAAGGAAAGCAGCACAGAACAATTTTGAATTACATTTGAAATTAGATTAAGGAAAATTCTAAAAGCCAACCCTCAAACGACAACAAATTCCAGACTTCAATCATCAAGAGAGTTTTGCGGCTGCTGCAACACGATATACTATCTAGATGTCTTATGTTTGTTATGCAATATACCGTGACATGTAAATCCATTGCTAGGTAACGGCTTATTGAAACACGCCATCGAGGTTATGACATCTCACATGGTCGTGCATCTCTTCTCCATCTTACAAGTTTCCATTTTGAAACAAACGGCATTAATTTTACTTTTACATTTTTGTTCTGCATTCACGTATTTAACGAATAAGTTTTAACTCTCTCTGACATATAGAAAACCCAGTGAGGAGATTATAAATGATGAGATAGGGAGGACATGGAAAAATGCAGTCAGGGCACATTTTAATCAACTGTTTCAACGTTTAGCTGCTGGGATTGGGAGAGTCAAGTTGAGACAGGTGTCCCCAGGTACCCACAGACCGCGAAGCAGGACCGTGTCTGGAAGCAAAATGCTGAAGGAAGACCTGGAACTCAAAGCACGTGGTAACTAAGACAGAAATCCCTGCCGTCGCCTAGAAACGAGCTCCTGTTGTCCAGGCAGCAGCTGGTCATTTTAATGAAAGAGGTATCTAAAAACGAAGATTCCTTCCCACCTCCGAAGTGCAGAGAAGGAAAAAAAAGAAAAAGCTGATTTTATGGAACTGCAAGAAGCGTTACCGCATTCACAAAATCCTGCCACTGGCTCCTGTTCTGGGCTTCTTCAGTGGAGTCCGCACCTTTACAACCTGTTCACGCTCTAGGCGTGAGTCTTTCAAGTTTTCTGTTCCCCTACATTTCGCATCCAAAATGTTACAGGTCTATGAATTTCTTACCTCCTTGCATGTGTGCTACACGTAGACCCTATGTTTATATCTTGATTTAACAACTAATCATAACACTATTAGGCAGAGAGTATGAGACATGAATCGTGTACTCTTCCCGCGCCCTTCTTTCGTCTTGCCTCTTGGGAGCAACATTATAACCAATTATCACATGCAGTAGGCCTCTTATCCCAGAGTCAGCACGTCCCTTTCACAGGACCTGTTTACTTTCATTCCCAAGTTCTGCCTTGGACTCGTCGCCTATTTGAAGTTCAAATTAGGTCAATGAATTTAGCAAATTTGATTCGCGATTAGCGGAGATTTCCTAAGAAACGTGTCGCCACAGATAAGCTGTACATTCTGTAGATGCCAGGACGTAGCCGAGGATACAATGAGCGAGTGAGGGGTCCACTGAAAGCATGTAGGACTTGAGGTCCTCACACACGTGGTTACGAAGATTTCTGTCTTCTAGGATATAACGCCGTGTTGAAAGTCAAGAGACTCTGGTCTCTTGCTCGGCTTATTATCCGATCATGGAGGGGACGTGTTCCTTCGAAGCGTCTGCTGACTTCCAAAGGACTGCATGGCGTTGTATCTTCAGGCTGTATCATGCACTGGAACGAAATCATTTGCGATTCTTTCATTTGTCAGCAAAGCCACCATTAGTAAAATATTTTCGGACTCTGAACTTGGATCGGAATAATTTAGCGCTTGTAAAAAATGCACCAGTATTCCCAATTACAAATTTCTGAATATATAATCTTTTGTTCCATACTCATACATAAATTATTTAGGGTCTGAGGTCCTCACAGCTATGGTTATGAAGATATAACGCAGAGTGGTCAGTTTAAATCTATGTTTTGGAGGAAATCGTCGCCTTCATCTTCAGGGTTCAAGTGCAAGCCAAATGAAGAACGAGCATGAAGCAGGCAGCAAGTTTGCTTCCTGTCTCATGCGATGGCAATGAATTCTACCTGCTCACTGACAGGGCATACGAAAACGGAATGTTAGCTGCTGCTGCTACTAGTCCAAGGGCATAAGTTCTTGGTACTGGGAGAGGGCACCGACTACTCTCAGGCTCCGAGCCTTACGTGGTTGTCTTTCTAACTTCAGGCACCCGAAATTGAACTGCAGGCATTAGTAAATCTGACAAGCTATTGTGTTCATCGTAATCATTACTGTAAGGGTGAAGTAAGCAAGAAATACTCGCCGGAAGGCGACTTCGCAGTTCTCCACGTCGTCTTCAGCGTATTGAAGGCCATTTCGCTCTGCAGACCCAACGCCTGCCGCTCCCAGCTCTGCAGGTGAAGCAAAGCAACGCGCTTCTGGTGTGTCGAG